CCCCAAAACCCCAAAACCCCAAAACCCCATATCCAAATTAAATATTTTTAGGGAAAAGTTAATATGAAACAACTCTTATGGTGAGCACTTTTTATAGCTCATTGATTATGCAAACTTGAATTGGTAGTCGAAGTGTTCAGGCATGGAGCTAGATCGCCTATGAATATCACTTATCCAACTTCTTTCGGGGCAAATTGGGAGATTGGGGGCGGACAACTCACTTCATCTGGAGAGAGACAGCATTATTTATTAGGTCTAAAGAGAAGGAATTAAATATATTTACGATGAAGGATTTCTTCCCAATAATTACTCACCAGGAACCATCTATGCAGAGTCAACTGATTACAATCGGACTTCAATGAGTGCTTATGCACATCTTTTAGGAATGTATCCTTTAGAAAATAGAGAAAACTTTCAAATTATGCTTCCAAATGGGACTTTTACAGTGCATCACCCTATACCTGTTCATATGAGAGGTGATGACCAAGGTGTGCTGAACGGCCATAATACAGATTATTGCCATGCATCCCAAGTCATAGAACAAGAATCTCGAAATAAAGCAAATGAAGAATTTACGAATAGTCACTCTATTCAGCAAATGATCAAAGAAGTAAATGAGAAATTGGGCGATGCAAAGTATGTTAATTTTACAGACATCGAAAATGCAGTAGACTCATATTATTCATTGTATTATAACAACAAGTCTCACTCCATCCAGATGTCAGACTACTTCGTATCCAAAATGGATCATTACCTTTGGCTTAGGATGAACCATATGATCCACAGAGATGATTTTGGAGTCAGAATAGCCTCACATAGCTTTTTCGGGATTCTAAACTCCCTCATTTCTCACAGAACTGGCTTGAACAATTCAATCCCAGAGACTAATGTCACCAATAGTATCCCTAAAGAAGCCTTATACTACATATTTTCAGGTCATGACAACACTATTGTGGCTATTCTTGCGGGTCTTGGGCTCAAAACTGAAGGATTTCCAGAATATGGCGCTAGTATAACCATCGAGCTTCACAAAGAAGACGGCAAATACTACTTAATATTCTTGTACAATGACAAGTACCTTAACGTGAACAATATTTGTTCAGCCTATGAACACAAGTGTAACCCTGTATTAATCCTAAATTTCTTGAAATCCCGGATGCTAACCCAGTCTTATCAAGAAGTCTGAGATCACTTCAAAAGGAAGGCTGAGGAAGCCCTGAAGCAAGATTCTGAAAACTTCTGGATCCTCATCAAAGTCCTCTTCTTCATAATCCTCATAGTCTTTGTGGTAGTGGGTTGTGCTTACTGGACCTACAGAAAGAATCGTCCAAGAACTGGCAGAGAGATATTGGAGCAGGAAATGGAGCGATTTGATAGAGAATTCCAGTTTGATTCACATCGTCCCGAAATTATTTAGATAATAACTATTTCAACCTCCTCGCCCACCAAAGGGGTTTTGGGGTTTTGGGGTTTTGGGGTTTTGGGGTTTTGGGGTTTTGGGG